GGGACTCGATCCCGGGACTCCAGGATCATGACCTGAGCCGAAGGCAGTGGCTTAACCAACTGAGCCACCCAGGCGCCCTTCATTTATTAGGTTTTGTTTAAAAAGGTTTGTTTTGGTAAATTAAATTAAATAGAAGGGGCATCTATGATGTGCTGGTACTCTGCTAAATGGTGTAAGAGGAAGACAAAATACATATGATGGACCCTCCTGTAAATAAAAATTAAACACTATGCTCAAAATGATTAGAGAATAGCTATGGTATGGTAAGTGAAATAAGAAAAGAGAAATGATCATGGACTGAAGAATGTTTCATGAAAGAAGTGGGACATATACTGGTCCAAAGAGCCTTCTATGAAATAGGGGGAAATGGAGGGTGTTACAGGTGGGAGAACAGTTTGGACCAAACCATGAGGCTAAGAACAAGAATGGCCACATACGGAAAGGCACATGAAGAAAAATCTATGTAGAGATTATATGTTAGTTAAGTTAAAATGGGGCATTGATTGTGAGTAAGAAAACTAAGTTACTTAGGTCCTATTGGAATAAATTGGCATCACCCCATGAACTCTGGCATTTTTCTCAATACATTTGGCAGATAGACTGGGTGAACTAGGAAACTACAGTGAAGTGGCCTAGGGAAATCCAGTACTTTAGAAATTGATTTGTCATAAGTAAAACTCATCTGATCTTAAGAAATATAAGATTGCCCAAGTCAAATGTAAAATGTAAAGAATTAGTCGTTTTGATAGGTGCATGCAATAATAAAAATGCAAACTACAGAGATATTCCACAGAATAAATCAGGATGTTTGAAAAAAGAGGCAGGTGCACAGGGCTTGTGAAGCTGTGGCAAAGTTAAAAATGTTGAGTTTAATTTTGAAAATATTGTATTTTGGGTACACATACAAATAGTAAAGACCTTAAGGAAGGAAAAAGCTTTAATCGGAAAGAGATGGTCAACAAGGTCAACATGATGTACCACCATCACTAGCAACACTTGACAGGACACTTGATTTTAACACAGTATGTTACAGATGGAAGATGGTTTACAGGAAGGAATGGTTTGGGAGTAGGAGATCAGGATGGAAGGCATGTGATCTTATTCTAGGAATGGGCTTCCAAAAAGGAAAGTAAATATAATGGCCAGGACAAGCAGCAGGTGGGGAAACCTAGGTGTGTCTGAAAACCAAGAGTCTGAATTTCCTTGGTTATTTTTTTTTTTAAGATTTATTTCTTTATTTGAGAGAGAGAGAGAGAGCACATGTGAGTAGGGGGAGGGGCATGGGGTGGGGGAGAAAAACAGACTCCTTGCTGAGCATGGAGCCCCACTCAGGGCTCCATCTCACAACCCTGAGACCATGACCTGAGCTGAAATCAAGAGTTGGGCACTTAACCAACTGAGCCACCCAGGTGCCCCTCCTTAGTTATTTTGATAACTAGGAGAAAGTATATTTTTAGAAAACAAACTTTTAATAAGACTGATGGATCACAGACCTGTACCTCTGACACAAATAATACATTATATGTTAAAAAAAAAAAAAAAGAAGATAGTAGGAAGGGAAAAATGAAGGGGGGGGAATTAATTCGGAGGGGGAGATGAACCATGAGAGACTATGGACTCTGAGAAACAAACTGAGGTTTCTAGAGGGGAGGGGGGTGGGGGGATGGATTAGCCTGGTGATGGGTATTAAAGAGGGCACGTATTGAATGGAGCACTGGGTGTTATACGCAAACAGTGAATCATGGAACATTACATCAAAAACTAATGATGTGATGTATGGGATTACCATAACATAATAATAATAAAAAAGTAGAAAATTTAAAAAAATAAAAAATAAATAAATAAATAAATAAATAAAACACTGATACAGAAAAAAAAAGAAAATGCAAAAAGAGCTTAATTATTTAGTCACTTTAATTCATTATATTTTAGGACATTTTATTTATTCTATTCTCATCTTATGTATTACCATAATGAGTCATGCTTATATCAAACATGTGAGATACAAGGTATTAAATTGGAAATGCTAGTTTACCATAATGAGTCATGCTTATATCAAACATAAGATATGAGGTATTAAATTGGAAATGCTAGTTCCTTCCTTTTCTGAAAAGAATTCTGCACACTTCTCCACCTTCCTTCTTTCGCTTTCTTAGTTTTCTTAGTGTATGTGGAACATGTAAATGTTTGTTTCTATTTTGTTAGTTTCATTGGTTTGCTGCCTACAAAGATAACACATATTTATTGTAAAAATGTCACTCAGCACAGAAAGGCTTAAAGAAAAAATTTTTTGAATTTCATGAAATGATGTTATTCAGAGATAACCGGTATTATTATTTTGGTAAAACTCCTTCTAAGTCTTTTTCTATGTATAGATACATAGATGATATTTTATGTTAAGGAGACCATACTATTAATGTAGTTTTGCACCTGCTTTTTTGCATCTAATAATATGTTGTGGACATTTTTTATGTCGATGAATATAGGTATAGACCATTCTTTTTCAATGGCAGTCATTGCATGAACGTACCATAATTAATTTAAGCTATCTCCTGTTGCCAGACATTTAGACTCTTTCTAACTTTTCTGTTTAAGCAGCACTACAGTGAACACTCCTGTGGATACATTTTTGCGCACTTATCCAATTGATTGTCTTCTTTGAATAACTTCCCCAAAATGCAGTTGTGGGTCAAAGGCTATGCATATTTTATATTGATACATATTTATTTACATATTGTCCAGTGTCCTTTAGAAGTGCAGTACCAGTTATGCTTCTACCAATAATACTGATCAGTATCCAGAAAGTTCTTTTAAATGTCTTAAATTTTTTTTTTCATCTTCATTCAGGCTCATTTTCCTCACTTATAAAATAAGAAGGATGAAATCTATCAGTGGTTCTTAAACTTTTTAGGATCTTAGGATCATTTGAGAATTTTTGAAAACTGTTGACCAGAAACTGGAACAGTTGTTTCAGAAAAACACACCTGTGCAAAAACAGAGAAATTTTTACATTATATTTATGAGAATTCATAGATTCTTTGAAGTCAATTCACAGACTCTAGGATCTCAGTCCATGAATCTAAGTGAAGAATCCCTGAATGAGATGATTTTAAAGTTGTTTTCTCTTTTTAACACTAATACGCACACACACACACACACACACACAGCACACACACACATCTTACATACACATCATGCACATGTCACACACCCATGTGCACTCAGAATTTTAATGTGTATTTGGAAAAACTTTGACACCTGCTTGATATGGAACCTAGTCTTATTGTGGTCTGTAAAATCACTTGACTGGGTATAGTTATTGGAATGAATTTCCATTTTTTTCAGGTTCTTCAATGGCGAGCCCACCAGGAAGAGGTAGCAAGACTGGAAATGGAAATTTCTGCCAAGAGAAGAGAAAAGGAGAAGGAGAAAGAGAAGCTATGGAAGGAGAAGGAATTGTTACAAAGAGCAGAGAAGAAAAAGAAAGTATGAATTCTGCTATTACTGTGAATGTTTGAATGAATGCTTAGTTGTCTGGTTGAGCTTTGATCGATCTTGGTGTTTGGCATGGAATCATCATAGGCAGTTCTTAGAAAGATTCGTAAGGTTCTAGTGGAGTCTTGCTTGAATTCATTTAAGCTTCAAAGATTGGACATGGAGGAGAATCCACTTTATTGACCTGCATGAGCACAGGTACTTGTGATTAGAAGGAATGCTGTAGGGAAAGAAAAGTTAGGGTTTATGACTTGTTAAGTCTTGTTCTAAGTAGGAACATGCAAGGACAAGAGGATACCAGGGTAACATTTTGGTTGACTGCAGTGTAGCAATTGAGTGTCAAAAGAGGTGTTTGCTGGTAAAATACTTTGTACCGAGGTCAGAGCAACTCATGCAATACCAGAAGGCCCTTTAAAGAATTTACTTCTTGGCTTATTATTTGTTAGATTGTTTTTCATTTGCTGACACAAATTCATCACTCTACTTTTGAGCAAACATTTGCTTCCCACTTTTCAAAAAATTAATCACAACACTTATTAACAGCTTCAAAATGATTGCTGATATTCTGTGGAAGGAAAAAACCGAATTTGAGATGGGATTTTAAAAATATATCTGGCATCTTTATTTAGATATTTTTGTTTATTTTATCAGTTTTTGTGGTGTAAACAAACACATTAGTATTCATCACCTAGCATTGAAACTGTTAATGTTTTTTTTTCTTTCACAGATTTATTTTATTTTACACATAAAGTTGAAGCCCTCTCTTGAAGATGTACTCAGAACCATTTTCCTTCTTACCTCCTCAAAGTCAGTCTTGATCATAAATTTTATTCCTATCTTTACAGGCCATCAATTGCTTTTAACATCTTTTTTTTTTTTTAAGATTTTATTTATTGACTTGACAGAGAGAGCGAGAGAGCACAAGCAGGGGGAGTGACAGAGGGAGAGGGAGAAGCAGGCTCCCCGCTGAACAGGAAGCCTGATGTGGGGCTCCATCCCAGGACTCTGAGAGCAAAGCCGGGGAGAGAGGCAGAGAGTGAGGGAGAAGCAGACTCACTGCTGAGCAGGGAGTCCATCAAGGGGCTCGATCCAAGGACCCCGGGATCATGACCTGAGCCAAAGGCAGATGCTTACCCGACTGAGCCACCCAGGCGCCCTGCTTTTAACATCTTTTAATATGTAGTTCGTGACTTTTAAATTTTTTCATGAATACTTTCAGACTGTATCATTCTGCAGCATGTACTTCAGCATTTAACCTTAAACTTTTGAGATATAGCTATATTAATAAACAGAGATGGAGCCCGCCCCTTTTCACTGATGTACACTGTTTCACGGGAGGCTGCCATGCATCCCTTCTCTTAGTGGTTGACATTTACGTTTCTGAGGTTCTGTTCTTGCAGCTGTGCTTGCGCGGCCGCCTTGTACGTGCCGACTGGGCGTGTGTGCCCAGCTCTCTCCACAGTACACAAGGAGCAGAATTACAGTCTGGTAGAGTTTGTATGCTCTCAATTTCATAAGGTTTTTTGTTTTTAGTTTATAAGATATTATAAATCTTCTTTTTGACTTTTGCCAATCTGATGAATGTGAACAGTATCTCGGTGTTTTAAATTGGATTCTCCCGATCACTTGGGAGATTGAAAAATCCCCTCATGTTTATTTGGGCCATTTTCTTCCTCTGTGAATTGCTTATGAGTACTTTTGTTTGTCTATTTTTCTTTATTAATCTGTAAAAGTTCTTTATAAATTCTGGATACTATTTCTTTTTGTCAGTTATTTTTTCTTTCATTGGTCATCTGCCTTTAAATTTGGTCTGTAGTGTCTACGGTTTCATGGAAATTTAAAATGATCAAGTAATGAAAGTTATTAAACTCTTTTCCTTTGTGAACTGTGCTTTCCTTTGTGAACCATGACCTGACAGTGAGAGCATTTTTACAGAGAGTTTTTGTTCGCTTCTGCTTAGGGGCCTATACATTTTACTGGCCCAGGACCAGTGTGTGTATTGACTGTGAGATTTGGGACCTGTTCTGTGAGCTTGCAGACGGTGCTGACTTAGCACTCATGCACAGCACCTGCCTGGGTTCTGCTGGTGACCCCTTTCCTCCTCTGGTCCCAAGCAGAAAGTTATCTCCCTTATCACTTTTCTGGGGAGTGGTCCTGGTGTGTCTCGTTCCCATTTTGTGTATGGACAAGTCCTATAGGACTTCTTACTCTTTTTAAGTGGCATGATTCCAGCTCCCATATACACAAGTCTTACAGCTGATCTTAAAGACCCAACCACCAGCTCCTCAGGCCTGCCTCAGGCCCAGTTCTGTCCAAGAGCCCTTTGGCTTTGGCTCCATTTTACTGCTCTGACTTTGAGTTCCATCTTTATCTTCAACACTGGGATATTGTGTGTGTTTGTGTGCTGTTGTGTTATAGTTTGTCCAAAATTTCTATGTGTTTAAAGTAGGAAAGGAGATTTCTATGTCAACTCAGACAAACTGACCAAAGTTCTGCCTACCTTTATATATATACTACGAATCCAGACTCTCTTTGTTCTATTTTCTATGCTGGAGACAAATTTTAGTTCTTTAGTGTTTAACAGCAGTTTCACAAAACCCTCCTATAGTTACTCAGGTCAGAAGCTCCCTCTGACTTGAGACTGATTGCTTTGTTAGCTGGTGCTCTGTTTTTCCTCATCTACTGTTTCACCTGCCTGGATTTCTCTTCTCATAAGCTAGCAGCCATAGAGATAGAGAAACTGTTCCGTGTATAAAACCCCACCTGAGGATTTCTGAATAACAGATCATCTTTCTCCTAATTCTTCTTCTCAGCAGTTTGTCTTTTAGGGAATGACACTGTCTTTTTGCTGGAATAACATTTTAATTTGTATCCCAAAGTTTACCCTGGTAGGTGCCCAACTCTTTTCAAATTGACCTTTAAATTATTAGATCACTTTTTCTTCTGTGCTTTAAAACTTGAGTTGAACATAATATTCAGTTTTCATAGTTTCATCTCAAGACTCAAGGTAAGTTTTGATTCATAGGCTGTTAGGTGATAATGGTAATATTTCAGAAGCATCTCTCCACTTTTGATATTATTGTCATGATAAAATCAAAGAATAATGTCTTTCCATAAACTATCCCTAGGAGCTATTGTAAGAAACAAAATTACTGTGCTAGGTGAACCTTAAAATGCCTGATATGTAATATTGGTCCCAGTACCACCCTTTCACTAGATGTAGCATTTTGGGTGGCTTGAATAACATAAAAACTACTCTGCATCATGGCGTTTTAGGAGGTTTTTTGCTGCTTGATGCCTGGAGTTCTATGGGATCAAAGCAAGGATAGTTTCAGCCTCACTCCCAAAATAGAGATTTCAAGCAAGGCTCACATTAAAAGGAGACATATTCCTTCCTTGCTCTAGCATATACATTTCTCTCCCAATTTTACAAGTTCCTAATCTAGCATTGAAGCCCCCACATTGTACACCTGAGGGACAGGAAGCATCATCAGGAAAGTCAGAATAACTCCACCAGCCATGGCCCACCATCCATGTGACCTTCAGCCTTACCTCTGAGATGTTTCTGGGGAGAAATCTATCGTTTGTGATCTCTTAGCCTCAAGTGACATCTTATCAGTAAATATCAATAGACCCAGGCATCAGTAGAACCTTGGCACTTATGTTGTCCCCCTTGACCTCAGGTGATGTGGCAAATACTCAGAATTACATTCATCCTACAGATAACCAGGGGCAGCAGAAACAGTCTAAAATAAAAGAGGGTAGGCTATCATAAAAGAATGCAGGCTAGAGGGCTAGACCAGTACTGCTTCCCAGAAGATTCAAGCTCTGTGCTTAGGAGGGAACCCAGAGTATCTTCTCAATTCAGATCAAAGCTATTTTCTCAGTGTGGGAATCTGTGGGTTCTTATGAGAGCAATTTACCATGAAATTCCTTCCCCAGTGTTTCTTAATCTAATAATATACTGATCTAAAGAGCTAAGAATTGGGGGGGGGGTAGGTAGATACTGAAGAATGATAAAAAATAAATCCCCAGACTATAAACTCTACTTCTTCAGGATTGTTGGGACTTAAAGGGGACAATGAATCACACCTGTGATAGGCAGGCTTCTAAGATGGGCCCCAAGATTTCCTGCCCTCCTGGGATACATGCCCTATATAATCACCAGGATCGTAACTACCGTGGGTTAGATTTTATTATATGGCACAGACAACCTTGAGAAAGAGAGATTACCTGGAAGGACTTGACCTAATCCCATGAGCCCTTTAAAAATAGAGTTTTCTTTGGCTTGTCACAAGAGGGGTCATCAGAGATTTAAAGCATGAAAAGGACATGACTGAATATTTTGGCTTGGAGATTGAGGAGGTCACATGGCAAGGGATGTGGGTGGACTCTAGCAGCTGAGTGTGGCCCTGGCTGACAGCCAGAAGAGAAATGGGAACCTGTAACCTGTAGTCCTACAACTGTAAGGAACTGAATTCTGCCAAAACAAGAATGAGCTTGGAAGCATATTTTCCTCTAAAGCTTCCAGGTGAGAACTCAGTTTTCTCGGCACCTTGACTTCATTCTTGTGATGTCATGGGCAGAGAGTCCAGGGACACCATGCTGGACTTCTGATTTATAGGAGTCTGAGCTCATAAGTAAGTGTTGTTTTAAGCTGCTAAATTTGTGGTAATTTGTCACACAGCAATTAAAAAACTAGTACAGTTTTTGGTATTTAGAAGTGAGTTGTTGCTGTAACAAATACCTGAAAATGTGGAAGTGGCTTTGGAATTGGGAAGTGGGAAGAAGCAAGAAGAATTTTAGGCACATGATAGAAAAAAGACTAGAATGCCTTGAACTGATTTAGTAGAGGATGTTGAAGATGTGGCTGCTGAGTCTCAAAAGGAAGTGATGAACATATTCTTCAAAACTGGAGAAAGGGTCACTGTTTTTTTTTTTTTTTATTTTTAAAAGATTTTATTTATTTATTTGACAGAGAGAGAGAGAGCGCGAGA